TCAGTTGCAGTGGGCGACATTATTGTCACAAGTAAGAAGGAAATTACATACCTAGGATCTATTCTTGAGGCAAACCTCTCTTGTGACAAAATGGCATCCAATGTAATAAAAAAAGTAAATCAAAGAACTAGATTCCTATACCGGATCTCCTCTCTGGTAAACAAAAACACCCTGAAAACTCTGGCAGGAGCACTCATTCAAGGGTACTATGACTATGCTTGCACGTCATGGTACCATAGCACCTCCAAGGCGCTACAAATAAAACTTCAAACATCGCAAAATAAACTGGTCAGACTACTGCTTGACCTTTCATCTAGAACCCACCTCACCTCTGCCCACTTTGACAACCTAGGATGGCTTAGAGTAGACGACAGAGTACAGCTACTTGCAATGGGCCTGGTCTACAAGATCCACTACACCTCTATGGTACCCATGTACATGTCAAAATTCTTCCCAAAGGTCAAGGAATACCATGATCATAACACCAGAGGGAGCTCCACAAATCATGTGAAACCCAGATTTGGCACAAAAACGGGGGAATACACGTTTCGCAATTATGCCACATCAAGGTGGAATGCTCTTCCCACAACTGTAAAGGAAAGTAAAACTATACTTACCTTCAAAACCTCTCTTAAAGAGCACCTTCGGGGGAGAGCATTGCAAAACTGGCCCCGGTAATGGTACAAATCTCAACCTGTCGTTCAATGGACAGCTTCCCCCCCCCCCCATCTATGTATATACTCGCATTTTAGACTCTGTTACTAACTGTATATCTGTAGACTTGGTATGTCTTAAATGTCCGGTTAGGATGTATTAGAACGAAATCTAAAATGAAAATTGTAAATAAGCAATCTGTATGTAAAAAAACACCTGTATGTAAATTGTAAATAAGCCATCTGTATGTCAAATATGTCTTATATGTCTTAAATGACATGATGAATTGGAAATGGGGGACCCTGATGTAAACAAGACGAAAGTCTTTCTCTGGTCTGCATCCCCTTAACAATTGTATGTTTTGAGCTGTACTGTACTGTACCCAATATACAAGCTGTTAATAAACTTTTCAATCAATCAATCAATGTTAAATATCCTCTGCTGGCTCCTCTCTGTGGGCCGGTTGGCGCTGCTGGGGGCCGGCCCTCCACGTCTCCAATGTTCGTTGTTGCGCATTACAGAGGATTCAGGCATTGTACATTAAATATATAACTAAACACGCCTTTTCTCCTCCTTATCTCTTTCATGACTTTTCATTTAATACATTTTAAACGCTGTAATCAATACTCCAAAAATACCTCACGGCTGGTATCATTTCCGGTAGTTCCGGATGTTGTCTCATGCTACCCAAGTCTGTAAACAAACGTATTCAAATAAACTGTACCTTAATTTAATATTCAGCAATAATAATATCTCGACGTCTATAGTTGTAGTGTTGAAATCAGTAGGTTTCAGTGTGCAACACTCCGTGTCATATCGCTACTAAATTCACCTCTATAGTAAATGGTATATTAGCCACATGCTAAATGCTAACCGGAGATGAAGGATTTTCAGAATAAAAGCTTAACAACTGGTTGTGCACAAGAACTTCTGGTTTTTCAGTATAAAACAGCATTTAAACTGATGGTATGTTTAAGGTACTTTATGCCATCAAAACATTGATTTTAATTTCTAACAAGTCCCATTCAAATCCCCCGTGTTCCTCCACCTGCTGCACCTTTTAATTCTCCATTGTGATACTGCACTTTATGTACTTACGTTTCAAAGGCTTGTAAGCTACAGTTTGCACTGTTTCAATAAATGAAACTAATTTTCTCACCACATCTTTTGATTCATTTTGTCCAGCACTTGCAAGCTGTAGACTCTCTGTCAGAGCCATATATTGTATAATTGATGCTTTCAGTTTTCAGTTGAATTAATTCAATCCAAGTCAATGGAACACTCAAGATGTCACCAAAATCACACTGTCCCTTTAAAATCTTTCAGAAATGATATAAGTGTATCGAATTATATCGAATCGTATCGAATCGTATCGTTGGCTGAATATCGTGATATATATCGTATTGTGAGCTGAATATCGTGTATCGTATCATATCGTGAGATTAGTGTATCGCTACAGCCCTAGTTATATACATGTAATTGATCATGCTGTTGGATTGCTGCCCTGTTAGGTTAGTGCAGGTGCATGTCTATGTGTGCAGCAGGGAGTTACAGTGTTGGTTTTGAAAGGCTACATTGTGAATTTCTAAAATGATTACATCTATCTCTTTTCAATGTAGAACTTTGATTTAACAATGCTCCAGAGTTATTGAAAGTATTTGGATCACACAAGAAATAATGTTACACATGCTACTAAAATGTATTACCCGTAATTTTCGGACTATAAGCCGCGCCTTTTTTCCCATTTTTCGACCCTGCGGCTTATATAACGGTGCGGCTAATCTATGGATTTTTACAGCTAACGGCCACTAGGGGACCTCCTAAATCTATGGATTTTACAGGTTACAGTCCACCACCTTTAACACTATGACCTCTATGACCGGTCCGCGCCCGCCACCTTTAAGCGGTGGGCTCCAGCAGGAAAAGCTGGAGGCCGGAAAAGAGTGAGACAGGTAGCGCGCCAAAGTAAAAGTGGAACCGAGAGTGGTACGAGAGACAGAACGAGAGCAAGACAGACAGACATTACGAGAGCGAGACAGTTTGTGCAAAGGAAGTTTTCATGCACAAACCCTGCCGGTACGTGCGCTGGGAGCGCACCGTTTAAGTTTGAAAGTTGAAAAGTTTGTGTGTCTGAAACGCTATGTGATACAGTACAGTTTACACAGCACAGTACATGTTCTGTAGCTACTATTGCACTAAATGGTAACACTTGAATACGTTATGCAAATATGCAACTTGTTTGTTGAAATGTTAATAAATGGGAGCTTCCTCAAACAGCCATCTCTTTCCCGACAATCCCCTCTGTGCACGAACCCTTACATATGGTAATTAAACATTAAAACACCTGCGGCTTATCGTCCAGTGCGGCTTATATATGTACACATCATTCAATTTAGCTGCTGCGGCTTATATTCAGGTGCGCTTTATAGTCCGAAAATTACGGTACTCGTTTTTTTTGTGTAGCCTAATCTTAATCTCGGATGTGCAGAAATAATGTGTTTAAACCACAATGAATAAAGCTTTGAAAAAAAGCTGTGCAGCATTAAAATGTTGATTTAGCATTTGAACGTTCAAACCTGAGTGTCCTTAATAGTGTACAGCCTCTGAGGAGCAGAGCTATACCTTATTTCTTCTATACCCTCTTTCATCCCTACGTCTTTCCTCATCTAATTCCGATGTACTGTACTCTTCCTTATATCTTTCCTTTGTTCCCTTTCTTATTTGCGCACCCTCCATCCACATCTGACTTTTTGCCAATCTATCCCTCCTCTCATAATACCAACAACTTTCTTTCCCCATTTCTCTCTCCTTTCATTGGCATCATCTGTTCCCTCCACATTGCATTTTCAGATCACACCCAGGCACTGGCTTTAGGCACTAAGTCACTCTACACCTCATCACTCAGTGGAAAGTCAAGGAGAGGGCAGAGAGAGATGGAGAAAGAGCAAGGACTTAAGAGAGAGAGGTGGACAAGAGGGAAGAAGGTGAAGAGGAGCAAGAATGTAAAAAGAGGGAGGTTAAAGGTTAGAAAATGAACGCAAAGAAGAGAGGTCACAAAGAGGTGTTGAGGGAGGAAATAGAGAAGAAAAGGAAGTCAAATGTAGATAAGAGAAGGAGTAGAAGGAGAATGGGCTTAGCAGAATGAAAGAAATCTTTATGCAAAGGATGGGGTTGCAGAGAAGAGATGGAGACAGAGAGGTGGAGAGTAGTCCAGAGATTTATGGCAGGTTGTTATGGAGCACCGTCTGAATAACAGAAGGTGAGACCAGGTGAATTATTCATGAGGATACAGGGCCGTGAGTGTGTGTGTGTGTGACATGCAGGTGACACACACACACACTCTCACAATGTCTCTCAGGCACCCTTAGGCCAGCTCATCTATGAGGAAAAGGAAAAACAAGCCGTCTACAACTTCTGGAAAGTCTGAAATACTGTGGGAAAAGGTAGATGGGGATGAGGAGACAGCTGTTCGCTTTCTAGGTTGAATGAGAAGTCTAATTTGGCTGTGGAGACATTTTGACTTTATAATATTAATTTATGATATGACCATGGTATCAGATTCCAACCTGCACTACCTGAAACATTGACTTTGAGTTTGTGTGTGCAGGTATGCACTTCAAACTACTTTGTTATTCTAGTTCTATAATTCTGGATTGACGAAGCCTATGAGAGAACATGTACTTCATGTTGCACCAAATGTGCACTTACACCGACACTTTGGTTGCTTTGGCTCAAACCAGAATGGAAAATTTAACTTTTGTCCAAATTCCTACTTTCCATAACTTCTTCCTCATTGTTGGTGTCCTGCCATCCTAACAGGGTGGAGATTCTTGCTTTGGCCGTGACAGTGTGGTGGCTAAATGTATTCAATGTTCGGAATAATGTTTTAATTCACCCGACAATTGCCGTTAGGGGTATTTCCAGAATAGTTCGGCTTCAATTATGTTCTCTCTACAGAAATTCTGTAAATACCGCATAATTATTTACACTCTAGTCCTCACAGTGGGTTTTTGTTAAACCAAGCAACAACATATTTCTCACCTTAGTAAAGAAATGTAATTAATGGAGTAAATGCTTCAGAGCTGGGCAGTTCCTCTGCAGACATGCTTAATATAAACACACCCTAAAACCCAAGACCACTAAAATGTTAGTGGCGGTCCAACACAAACTTATTCCGAGAACTGTACTTGAAACTAAGAGGGAGGTAAAGTAGCCTATTCTCCGTTTAATTTCAAATAAACACATGTGCACACAAAACCAAGCCAAAACTATCAGGAATTTTAAAAAAATCATGAGAACTGATGATCACAAAAAACGTTTTGAGAGCTACTGTGTCAAACACTCACCGAGTTGATGCAGGCCAGCTCCTTGTTGAGCAGCCAAGGCAGGGAGAGCTTCCCCTCTCCTCTGTAGCACGACTGAATCCTCTTTTTAATCTTCTCCTTTATCCGTTTCATAGTGAACAGACACAAAGCCGACTCCTTGGGAGGCTTGGCCCTGTTCTTCTGACCCTGCGCGAACACAGTGAACAGAACCTCCTCGTGCTCTTCAATACCGAGCGAATGAGCCAAACGGGCCCCCGGCCGGGCCAAATAAGCATCCTGAACCAAGCGGTACTCCACTCCGTCCTTGGTGCAGCCGATTGGGAACTCAACGTAGGAGTAGAACTTAGGATCGTCGACGCATAGGCGGACGATTTTAGAGGTGAAGAACTGTTCGCTGCTTGCGTCTGGCGAGGTGAGCTGGGTGTCGAGCTGTAAGGTGAGGTAATATACAAACTGCTCGCTGTTGAAGCCGTAGATGTAGTAGATGTCGAATGCCGGGAACTTGGAGAGCGTGTCTGAGGGAATCTTCAGCTGCGAGGAGACAAACTCGTCCTGGTAGACGAAGCTGAACATGTCGGCGTTCTCCTCGTTGGACATCAACTTGCGGCTCGACAGCGTAGGGAAGTACTCGGATTTCCCGTCAATGGGAGTACCGACAAAAAGTTTCCCACCTCCGCCAAAAAGATCCGGGGATATCACGACACCTGACATGGTGCCTGCCTCTGCAACGCTGGATAGATAATGCTCTTTGCGGTGGTGGGGCTCACCGAGCTTGAACAAATCATCCAGACGCAGGAATTGGCATATTCCCTGGGAGGTACTTCCACAGGCGATTAAGCGGTTGTGGGCAGCATCAAGGAGCAGGAGTTTATTGATGTTCGAGGTCTGCACCAGCTCATGGGGGCAGGACTGGACTCCGGGCGGGGGGTAACAGCGAGGGTTGTCTGTGACTGGGCCAGTCACATGGTTTCGGAGCTTGGTCAGGTTGCTCGACAGCTTGTAGATCCAGTTGACGGCGCCAAGGTAGACCTCGCCCGTTTTGTTGTGAACCACCAAATGTGTGAGACCTCCCTCCGGTGGGAAGAAGGTGAGGAGGGAGGAGGAAGGAGTGGAGGTGGAGGGCATGGACAGGGAGGGGGAGAAGAGATGGAGGAGGACGGGGAGGATAAGCATAAGATGATTGGAGTGGGGGGACATGGTGGTGAGGGGAGGTGTGAGAGTTGGTGTGTATTTGTGGGTGTGTAAAACTCCACAGGGTCAGTCAGTGACTTTTAAGACTGCAGGGTCTGATGATGCAAAGCAAAAGTTTCCAAGCAATCGTCTTCCTCTTTTTTTCCCTCCTTTGTCGGCTGTTGTTTTTATAACCTCATCCCCTGATCTTCAGCCTTGTCCGCCACCAGCCCTGAGAAAGAGAAACAAACAAAAATATTAGCAAACAAAGATGTCAATATATTCATGGGCATGTGTTTTGCACTTTAAAATATCTGACTAAAAAGGATTAATTTGTGTGTATCGAAATGACACCGCACTAAATATTCACCCACAGACTCAGACTCTGAGGCCTCGTTGCAGAAGTCCAAAAAAACAAATGAGGGCACTATCGGCTTTGTTTTATTGACTTCTCGACTCTTGGCTCGCTCCACTGTGTGGAGTGCATCTTTTAAAAGAAGACAGGGCCAAACATCGCTCTTCTGCGTATTGATTGTCTGGAGGTATTAAAGGATCTAGCAGACGGGGTGTGCATACACAGACAAAAATACATACACACAGAAAAGCAACTTGTGACACTTTACGCTGTAGCCTACAGTATCCCTGAATGCTGTGAGTGGCAGGTGAAGATTGGGGGTTCAAGCGCAAAGCAACACGCCCTACATACTGAACCATCAACATTGTTTTTGCTACAATTACCATCACTGTGAGATGAGAACAATGGATTTTACTAAACAATGTTACCTGGTTGAGAGGAACATGCAAGCTTATAGCATTCAACATTTAGGTGGACCTCGTTTCTGTCACAAAATCACCAGAAGACCTTTGAAATGTCTTACCAACAGAGACCAGTTCAGACAAAACCTATAAACCCATGGTTGGCAAGAAGCAACACAGCAACCCTCTGGTGTGGCTCAACAAAGTATGAATTGGTAGAGTTCACATATAGAATACAAAAAACAGATTGGTAAAACTCGCATACAAGAAATAACCAAAGTTAAAAGATGTACAGGTTTCATAATAAATGATTGGGATGAGGATGTATTTTCTATGTATTGATGCACCTTACAATATGAGTTACGCCTGTCAAGCAATTATCTGTTAATGGCACAGTAACAACATATTATTTCCCAAGGCTACGTTCATTGGGAAGCGTTTTAAAGCAACCACACACACTCTGTCCAACCATCTTTTCATTAGATCATTGGTTTAAACTCGGCTAAATAAAGAGCACAAGGCTATGGCCTGTTTCATAATGGAGTTTGGTCAGCTACTTATTCTTGTCTCTTATTTCTGCTGCTGTTTCTCATTCCTCCCTTTCATTACATTCCTCTCTCTCCCCCCCAGACACTTCACTTCTTGTCAATAGGGTCTTTCATCTGCAGCCCAGCCATGATTACAGTGGCCCAGATGACGATGCTGTTGCCTGTCTCATCAGCACAATAGAGCTTCTGTTAGTAGACACACACACAAACGCAAAACATGTGAACATATGACACACTCGTACAGTATGTGGTCCACAGGATTCTTACACACTGTCACATATTCTAATGATCTCAACACTTCAAACATAATTGACATTAAACAGACCTGCCCATACACACTCATGCCCCACCCATGCACAACAGAAGGAAGGGAAATGTCTTCAACACAGAGAAAGAGGAGATGTAACTAACTTTTCCAGTAACACTTTATATTAAGGTACACAAATTAACCATCAACTAGTTGTTAATTACCATGCATATTAGCAGTATATTGGCTCTTTATTAGTCATTATAAAACACTTATTAATGCCTTATTCTGCATGACCATATTCTACAAGTAATAAGCCATTAGTTGAGAGTTTTTCCTCAATAACCCTCTAATTAGTGCTTATTTATTGCAAGTAAGGAAGTTGTTGTACATGAGTTTTGGTCTTAATATGCGCTGCTCAATATGGGCCTAATAAGGCAGCAGTACCACAAGAATAGTAATTCTCCCATAATAACACTTAACACATATGATCTATTCTTATGTAACAAGACATGAAACTATAAGTGTTAATTGTGTCTAAATAACTCAAAATTAGGTATTTATATCTAAGAACATGTTCCCTATTCTAAAGTGAAGTCTTGTTCATAACCAATAAGCTATTAGTTTGACTCTAATTGACCTGAACAGGTTCCCTATTCTAAAGTTGCCTCCTCTTCACACTTTGTAAATACATTATAGAACACAACTACTGAAATTAACCTCAACAGTACATGAACAAAGTAGGCACATGTTGAAATATCTGTTTTATTAATGAACCACTAAAGAGAAGTTCAGACACATACAAAAACATGTCAAGTTTCTCCAAGGCTGAGAACACATAATGCAGCCTGAACTTTTTTAATAAAAACAGATTTTGTTTTAATATATTTTATGTATTTGTGATCATACTGTGTGACCTGCTTGTATGTACTTACACAATAGGTGTACTGTTCTCTCTATGTGTTGTACTGTCTGTGTGAACATAGATTAAACAGCCAGCCAAACTCTTTTGAGAGCCAGGGAATGAGCAGCCATGCTCCTTTATTGACTTATTTGCAGTCCACTGACATTCAAACGGAGTGAAACTATACAAAAATAAGTTACAAGGCACTTAATGATCTCATACATGCAAGTGTAACATACACAGATTAACACATAGGACCGCTAAGTGTACAAAATGTAAATATAGCTAATGCTAGCTGTGCAATAAGCATGTGTACAGGCTAGTATGGCTAACGCTAGCATGTATGCTAACGCTACCGTGTATGCTAACGCTAGCGCGAATGCTAACGCATTTTCTCATGGTGTTTAAACCGTTTAAACATCTCCAAATGTCATCACATAAACACAATACATGTTACTAATGCTTACAGTGTAAACATGTAAGGCTTACACTCACACTTACAGTCATTGCTTTCTGACGGACTTGACCCTTTACTCTTCAGGTTGCAAAGGGAACATTAGTAGCAGTCTACTCATGGATGTCTACTGCCATGCTATTCAGTTCACTTTCTCCTACTTCCTGTAGCCTACCCGGTTTCCTGTCTAACCTTCAGTACAAATTTTACAAATATATAAATGTTCAAATATGAAACATACAGGTCAATATCACCTTGCTATTGGTAGCTGAACTGTCAATACCCCAAAACATATTCTTAGATATAAATACCTAATTTTGAATTATTTAGACACAATTAACACTTATAGTATCATGTCTTGCTTATTACATAAGAATAGATCATATTTGTTAAGTGTTATTATGGTAGAATTACTATTCTTGTGGTACTACTGCCTTATTAGGCCCATATTGAGCAGAGCATATTAAGACCAAAACTCATGTAGCCTACAACAACTTGCAAATAAATAAGCACTAATTAGAGGGTTATTGAGGAAAAACTCTCAACTAATGGCTTATTACTTGTAGAATATGGTCATGCAGAATAAGGCATTAATAAGTGTTTTATAATGACTAATAAAGTGCCAATATACTGCTAATATGCATGTTAATTAACAACTAGTTGATAGTTAATGTGTGTAGCATACCTTAATTTAAGTGTTATCACTTTTCCTAATGACATGTTAAGATAAGCTATTTTTGCAGCATTTTTATCTCATCTTGTCTGATATAAATTCAATAAATAAATGAAAACCAAGCAGCCAACATGGAATAAATGGACATATACAGTAGCTTTAGTAGTTGGTGGAGCTGAAGATGCCGGGAGCTGTTTGACTAAACTGGGACAATCTGAAAAGGAAGAAAAACAAGTTGCTGATTTAAAAGTTTTTGCTTTAATGTCTGAATTAGATCATAAGCTTCTTTTTTTTTTAGTTTATGGATAAGAAAATTCGTTGGAAAACTGACAGTGGACAAGAAAAAAAGAGAGAAATGGGACAGAAATTATATAAATGGGAACTAACTTTCATCCTAACTATGCGGCTATGAAATTGTGTATGTGTTTTTACCAAGAAAACCTTGAATTACAGAGCCTTTGCTTCTTTGTGTGTGTGTCAGGGCCATTGTGAAGCCCACCTGCCACATCAGATGAAGCTGTTGAGGCCTTCAGGTCGGTCCCACACTGATTTATTGCTGTTGGCACATCGATTGCACACACAGGCGCAGACCTTGGCCAAACACTTAGGCAAATGTATACACACCACTTCTTTAGCATGGAGGCCACATCCATGCCTGAAAATGTGTCTATACTGTATGAGTGTGTGTGTGTAAGTGTGTACATCCTGCATCTTTTAAATCTTATTTCTACAAAACACACGCAGACATACGTCCAAACACATCGGCCTGTACATGTACTGCACTCTGTGTACACAAAGCATTTATATTGGTAGCCCAACTGTACAAACCATAGAGGGAAGCATAAATATTCACATGTATACCTTTCCATTTCAAACACATTTCTTCTGGATAAAGTGCAGTTGGGAGAGAAAGTGGGGACGAAATGAACGCAAGAATGAAAACATTTGGTACCCCTTCTTATGACTGTGTTGGTAAAATCATACGCCAATATGTTACATTTTAACATTCATTCCATATCCTTGATATCAGACCATAGTCTAATCCACCAAAAGTACCAGTGTAAGCCAACATGCTTACTAGTTAAGTAGTAGGGCCATTGACAACTACAGTTGACTAATTTCACACACTTTCTTTAACTAGTTAACGCAAACAATTGTGCTAGTTAACTAGTTTACGCCCCTTTTTACCTTAATAGTTAACTAGTGAAGCTCAGAGAGTATTCTAGTTGAAGTAATGAAATGCAAAAGCCTCACTAGTAGCACTATTTAGATAGCATTTTATTACTAGTGGCACAACTTCTAGTACTACTACTGGCAGAAGCATTTCTAGTGGCACCATATAATTTAAACAATTGTCACTATTTCATGAGTCAACTAGTAAAAATGTCTTCTAAAATTCACCAGTTGACAAGTAAAACTCCTAGTTTAACCTAGTTAAAGTTTAAAAACTAAATAAAGTCTGCTTTGACACTAGTAGTCAACAAGTGAAGCTTAAAAGGTATTAACTAGTTTACTAGTTAAGTCCAAATGTCTCTCACACGTGTCACTAATTAAGGATCCTAGTTAAGTAGTGTAAAAAAGTTTGCTGAATCCATGTTTGACTTGTTCACATGGCTTTTGCAGCTCAGTAGTTAAGCTGTAGACTTTCAG